CTTCAAGTATTGTTTTCGTAGGGAATTTTGTTTAATTAGTTAGAGGATTTCATCATGAGCTGACATCTGTTAGAGAACCATTGAAAAACCTGGGAGTACTGGACAGCCGTTTAGTCCTTTTTTGGGACACTTCATTAGTACGCACCCACCGCCAGGGTTTGGACCCAGGACCTTCTGGTTACAGGGCGATCTCCTGGGTTCGAACCTTTGCAGTGGGTGCGTACCGATGAAGAGTCCCAAAACAGGACTAAACGGTTGTCCAGTACTCCCAGGTTTTTCAATGGTTCTCTAACAGATGTCAGCTCATGATGAAATCCCCCAGCTAAATACAAAGTTAGTCGAAGCACCAGAGTAAGCATCAATATTTTCATTAAATCTTTCAGGGAGAGATTTCCCAAAGAATTATTTTGTTACACAAGACGACAAAAGTCATCAGGAAGAAAGGCTAAATAAAAGAAGTTATGAGGTCGCATAAATTTACTAGTATAATTATGATTACGAAATTGTACTCGAAATGTCATCCAGTTGTTATTAATAAAACGCTTCATCATTGCCCGTTTTTACCTTTCAAGTAAACTTTTCTAAAACAGAGTAAAGAATATTATTAGTAGACAAATTTAGAAATAATTATCCTGCAATATATTTAGACAACCATACTATTTATTTAATAAGTAGTATATCATGTACTAACAACAATGATGGCGTCTTCCTTGATTCACATAAAATCGATCTTGAGTAATTAAAAAAAACTTAAACTAATGACTAATTAGTAATCAGTTAAACCGATCGATTGATTTCATTCATTTATATATGCGCACGTATGCGCTAACACATACTATTACTGCTATTATGATTATGATAACGCATGTTTATTTATTACCAAAATTATTCTGCTTTCTTTACACTTCACTGAGTGCTGTGTTTTAATTTGTTATTACTGTTGTTATCATTATTTTTTTCATCTGCTGTGAGACTTCTTCCATATAATTAGTCATTCCTCTCGGAGAAACATAATTACTATTATTAATTTTGTGATCATTAATACTACTTATATCATGACTGGTAGTAGTATCAGCAATAGCAGTAGTAACAATAATAACATTAATAATAGCATTTATGATATTGGTCACCATAGTAATAGAGGAATAGGTTCATATTTTATCATTTGATTTTGATTTAAACATTCAAACTGTATTGTATTCGTAGTGAATTGTTTCACTTATGTGTTTGTGTTCGTGTGTGTGTGATGTGCGCATGTATTTCATTGTTGTTGTAAAAAGCACTATATATATATATATATATATATATATAAAGGTGATTTGCATGCTATTTCGTTGTAAGAAGAGTTTATTTAGCAGAATACCGAGCAGTAGTCATTTTGATGCTGCTGGTTTGGTAAATCCTCTTAAAACTCATATTTTCCGATTCACTCCGTTCTCTTCATTTGTTTCCAGCTGACTCCACAGTTGCTTGTAAGCTTTATTTTCCTCCTCCACATCAGCCTCGGATCTACACACATCCCGTCTTTCCTTATTCAATTTCCATTTGAGGGCCTTAAACGTGTTGTCATTCAACGGTTTTCTCACCGTTTGTTCAATCCATCTCTATTTCCTTGAGCATGCTTTTTGAGCAGTAGCTTTTCGAGTCGGTTCATTCCCAGATTTCCTTGTTGTTGCTAATCCCTTCTGACCAACCATTTGATCCTTAGAATCGAAGGCAGCGAAGGCAGCTGATGATGCGAGATTGCAGTAGCCTTCCGGAAAGGCTTTTCGTGACACGTCGACGAAGTCTCTGAATTATATACACAAGCACTGACTGACAAGGCATTAGCATTGAGGATATGGATCTTCTTCCTTATTCTGAGTGCAATAGACTTCCACATTGATTCCAGATTAATTAGTGATAATTAAAACAATAATAGCCAGTAAAAGGTTTAGATAGAGGGGGAACTGTCAGGCTTTTACGGCTAGGCGTCTGAACCAACTTCTTCTGGACGCATACGTTTAACTTCGTCAAGTGGATTGCAACGGCTTCAACTATGCGTGGAAGGCAAGTTTATTCGGAATACGGTAGATGACTTTAAATGTCTTGTTAGAAGTGACTTTGTGTTCAGTGTCCACAAAATGAGGTAAAACTGACCTACGATTGGAGGTCGTTGGAACCTTGCTTGATTATGAAGTATGCTATTCGGGAATCTGATGTTGAACATATCCAGCTGTACACTCACTGTATTAAGAATGGAGAACAATGGTTTTAGGAGTGCAAGATTCGACTGAAATATACGGATAAAATTAAAAATATATCTACTTTTGAATTGGGGGAATTCGCTGCTTAACATGGTGACGAGAAACAAAGTGAAGAATTTCTCCGAAATATTCAACTTAAGGACAATATGTGAGGCGTTTGTATTATACCGCATATTTTTCATAATTTCTCCATTGGTGTTTATCGGTGAAAAGTGAAGCTGGTATAAACGATAAGAATACTGATAGAGACACGATAATAATCCTTATACTTGGGTTCGATATGATGAGGAAACGAATAACCTATCATTAAACCGAATACCAAATACAGATCACTAATTACCTCTAAGCCTTAAAGCCCACAAAAAATCCACTGGGCCCAGCCTGTAAGATAGTTTACTCTATTAGACTAAAATAAGTTATATGCATTATATATATTACTTATTGGTCGTCGGAGAGTTAAACCATTAAATAGCTAATTGAAATGACTACACCAGAGCGGCCTTCAAAGTTGTTCAATCATGCTCGACCTGCAAAATGTGATTATTCTAAGGTTAGGCAAATTTGGGAGTATATTATAGGGACATTACGGCATCTGCCGTTAGGTTACGTAATCCATTATGGATAAAATTTCATTTTAATAAAATCAAGGTGACCTTGATATGATTATAAGCAATAAATTGTGCTCGCAATGCCATCAGTAAAGATTACTGTATAACACTGTGTGATCTTATCAAAATAAAATTTTATCCATAATGGAATTATACTCTACCAAAGTGCCTAAGTTTTATTCTTATATCAAGGTTCTGTAATCGTTTGATATTTTGCAGACGTTAGGTAGTCAGTAATTTGTTTAGAGGCGGATAAGACTTCGAATTGACTATATTTGGCTGCAAATCATCTGACAGATGCGTTTTCTTTCAGTAGCGGTAGTATAATACCTAGTTTTTGATATATTTGGTGATTATGTGATATCAGTGTTGTATATTTGACTAAAGGTATTTTAGACTACACTGTGTAACTTCCATGACGTCGAAGAATATTCAAAGAAGGTAGTACATGAAAAATATACAGTTTTGACTGACAAGCTTGTCTGCTAGTGAGTGAGCCAGTTTTCAGGAATTCAGACTGTCATGAAAGAGACACCGATACTGTTGTACAGCACAGCGATCAGGATGCTCGTCGACTATGCACATGGTCCGAGGTTCAATCCCATGCTGGCACACACCTGATATCAATGGTCGGCCTGCAAAATTTGGGCTACCGATAGCAAATGCTGAAAATTCCAAAGATGTACCAAAAATACTGTGTGGTTTCAAGCTATAATCACAAAAATTAAAATAAAATTGATTACTTTGAGCTGCTTTCAGTCATTAATATAGATGCATATACAGGTGAAATAGTACAAATCCCTTTGTAAAAGTGCTTTAATTCAAGGTGACCCAGTTTGAAGTAGTAAATACAGATAGCGTATAAACAGATGGGAATGAAATTGATGTTAAACCTTTCAGAACTTTAGAGAAAATGACGAGGATCACAGAAACGGAATACATCTTTGTTACACATATCTATTTGACAGCATGTTATTCAAGTGTTGAACTTTTCCGCTCTCTCTCTCTCTCTCTGTATATATATATATATATATATATATATATATACCCCTCCATAAATCGACAACCTCCTCAGTCGGTGCCATGTCTTGTTCTGGTTAGCTGTAGTCTTACTCAGATTTCCCTTCATTACATGTCGACTATTTACTGTCTGAAATTCCAGCATAAAATCTCCTATATCCCATCAATCAGTGGTACCATTGCAGTAGCATAAAGGATCTTAGTCAAACGCCTTTGACTTTCTTGTCGTATCATGTAGATTTACTGACCACATTCTATAACTGACTTCTTTTAATTCCTCGGTATCCCAAAGGAACATAGTGCTTCAAGCTACAGCTCTGAATTTTTAGCAGAGGTGATGTTGTCTTTATGATGAGAGGTCGCTAGCCTCGCACCCAACCATTCCTCTTTACCAGGCTTGCTACTTGTTGGGTTAGGTTTAAGAGTCCGTTATCCTGTAATCGAACCCCTAATGACGTGGTGATGTGTGAGAATTCCACCTATGAACCACCGATGCATTATGATCAGGTGTATTTAGGTTAAATAATAAGTGACCACCTAAAATATAAACACGACTATAAAAGTAAAGCCTAATGACATCATCTTTTTGCCCAGATCTCAGGTGGGAGAGGAGACAGAGTATGAATTAAGCCCTTGGATGATTTCTGAGGGGTTCAAATGTCAGACCAGTGATTCATAAAACTAGTGGATACTTGTTATCCATCATGAACACAGATTTAACTGTGATCATTATGATAGATGCAGTAGAGACTGGCACTAGGGCATAACAGTTGCGTTTTAATATCCATGAATACTACAGAAAGCTCAAAATCTAGAGAATTAAGGCAGCTGATAAACCACTTGATGATTTGATAGCATCTAACAAGCACACTGCTCTCAATGTCTAGTTTCAAAATGATGTAATAACTTTCTGTGTTGTGAATGCACAACTAAATGCACGGTGTGCAGTGTTTAAAAAATAAAAAGGACAAAATATTATTTCCTGACGATTTTTGTTTCCTCAATTGCTTTGTTAATAATAATAATAATCGCAGTTTGTTCTTGGGTGAACGTGTGTGCGCGTGTGAATTTTCAGAAGTTAAGTAAATCTACAATTCACCGTTTGTTTGTTTTCATTTATTTCAAGGTTGCCAATGGACCCGAGTCAGGCGGGTCTTTTCAGCAATCCAGCTGCTGCTGCCGCGGCAGCTGCACTTGTCAACAACCCTTTAATGAATCCGTTAGTGAATGCAAGTCTACTCACAGGTTTCAATCTACCCAACACAGTGGACTATCACCAAACATTGGCGGTGGACTTTTGCAAACACCGACTAATCATCCCCAAATGTCACCAATATCTGATCCAACTGTTGATAATCGACTACAAGCACAATTGTCATTGAATCCACTTACTAGTTTGAATTATTTACTTAATATTTCAAATGCAACAGGGAATCCTTCACCTACTGCTACCGCAGCGGCTCTAGCAGCGGCAGCTAATGGAAATCAAGCAAATATATCGCCTGCTGCTTTAGCTCTTCTAATGTCTGCCTATGGGCAAGGAGCAAATGGTTTAAGTACTGGTTTACCGACAAACACTTCGTTCGTTGGAGTGCCATCTGTCAGTCATCCATCGATAAATGGCACTAGTTTACCTACCACAAGTTTACTGAACTTAAATTCTACTACTCCAAATACAACCGGCCTAAATGTCCTGACTGGAAGTCATTCGGTATCACCATTCTGTAGGACATTTACACCAGAAGTTTCAGCCAATGACTTGAATGCCTACTCTGCTGCTATGGCTTATCAACGATTACTAAATATGGCATCAAGTTATCAAACTATTCCACCATCCTTACTGACGTCAGTTAATCCAGTCAACTCATTGTCAGGCGCTATGATTAATAATCCATTTCCCAGTCTTCCAAACCAAACAATGAGCTATGCGAACAACAATAATAATAACGCGAATACTGCTAACAATAATAATGGTATCAATGTGTCAATGGATCAGCCGAATTCAATACCACTGGCATTTCCGGCCACATCGCGTAATTTAGTTACTTTTACAACGGATATGAACGGTACATCATATGATTATGCTAATCATTCACAAGAGTTGACGGCTAATATGCATGCGACGCTATCAACAGGACATCATCCCAGCACAAGCACTACACCACCACCACTACGTGAAAGTATTGAGTGCGGTGTTAATGCTTCTATGAATTTCTAGAAGTTTAGCAGAAATGATAAATAGTATGAAAATTGTCTCTTTCTGTGCTGTTCAAGGTCATCAATGTAAATTGTTTACTTCTTTTTTGTTTAAATTAAGCTGTGTTGTTAATTGTGGCGCGTTAAACGAATAATGCATCCTTGTAATCTAATCGGTTGTGCGCTAACCTTTATTGAGTGTAATCAGTGCTAATAATTCTCGTACTTTCTTCTTCTTTTTGTTGTGATGTTGACAAAATGAAACTGTGATCCTCTTGTGCCTTTTTCCCTCTTCCGTTTTTCTCTCTCCTATCTTTCATATGTCAATGTAATTTTAGTAACTTCTCCATGTGTTACGTAATTTTCGTACTTGACTTCTTTAACTTTAAATAATTTCTCTCCTATGCAATGTTCTGTGTTCAACCTCCCCCATTTGCCGACTTTTGTCTCAACATCTTCATGCGACTATTTTCAGACGTGCTTAAACATATTCGTTTGCACAAAGTGATGTCGAGTTTAGTGTGCGTGTAAACATTCACGATTCATGGAGTATACTGGAAGTGTTCAACAAATAACTTAACACTTTTTTCTTTTGTTCTTAAATATGTGTGAAGTCGTGAAGGAAAAGAGAATGAGATAAATATCTGTACAATTCCCCTGTCCTAATCTTCTTAACCACTTTTGTTTCATTTCAATAATATGACCTTGAAAATAATATGGACGTCGTTTTTGACAATGTTATTTAAAGGTGTCTGCAGTATATTCCAGTGACTAAGGACGGGATGTAGGGAATGTGATTCATTCTGTTTTAGAGTTTGCAGCTGAATATTTTACATTATTATTCCCTTGGGTTCCGAGTAGGATATAAGGCTTCAGCAACACTTCGCCGTTTCACACTGTCCTCCCCAGCTAGCTCCACAACTGCCAATAGGCTTTTATTTCCTCCAAATATTATATCCTCCATATCACAATCGGTCATATATTCAACTCTACGCTTCCCATTCAGTTGCCACCAGAGGGTTTGACTTGCAATGTCACAAAACATTTTCCTCAGCTTATGTTTAATTCAGCTCACTTTCCTTCGGCACATTTGTTAGGCGATAGGTTCTGGCTTGGTTCGTTTCTAGAGTTCTGTGTTACTAACTGTTTCCAGCCTGCCATATGATCTACAGTATTGGGATTGCGAATGTAGCTATTAATAAATGCTTCTAACCTATTCGAAATGATTTTGCTGATGCCCTGGCCAAATCTCTGAACTATGAGATAGCAAAGAATTGGTATTAGTGTTGAGCATTCGGACGTTGTTCCTTATGCTGAGTGCAGTAGATTGCCACACTCCCTTTAACAACCTCATCTTTGCCGTCAGGAGTTAGGCCAATGCTCCTTAGATGACTTCCTTTAAAATTCTCCAGTTGATACCGGCTGGTGCTCATTGTCATTGGTTAGGTATCCTCGTCACCTTTACATCCCTTATGTTTACTGGAGATCCTGTCTTCACTGCCCGCCTCTTCTGCTAACTTGTTGATTTTCACCTGTAAGTTTTCAACTTTATGCGACAACTACTGAATTTAGTAACATCGAATTGTTAGTCTTCTCACTGTAAATGGAATCAAACATGAGATGTTTTGAAAACCAGTGTTTTTGTCCATGTGTGGGCGCTGAATTAAAACGACCACATTTTGTGGAATGAATGTCGGCTTCTTAAATGTAACTGTGATCTATTTCGACGTTGGTGTATAGTAGTGAACAAGTTAGTCTCCGTTGGTGTGTGGTAACAGTGATTACGTGACCACGCTTCTGCCATTTTTGGTAAGGTACAGTTGATTTTTATTATATAATGCACACACCGCACTTAAACATACTGATACATAACATACTTTACCGATCCAGGCAACTGCTTCAGAGAGAGGAGTAGTCCTGTTTGCGCCGATAGTACTAGCTGCTACCTTGACGTGGTGGTCGGGCTTGAACACCGCAATGACCTAATCAAGCTATACTGGCTGAGACTTATGTCTCTTGAGGTTCTACCATGCCAGGCAGGTTGTTTGGATAGCGGTTAAACAAAAAGCAGCTACCCAATCCAACATCATGATAAATACAAAATTACAAAATTTCATGCCGGATCGGCCGTGGCCCGGATTAACAACGACCGCGCTTCCTGCTGCCGTGTCACAGGGCGGGAGTGATAAATCTGCTACTGAGACACACAAAACAACAAAGAACAAACAAAAGCAGGCCGCGTGTGACCGGCCCCAAGCAGTTGTCCCCTGGGCTCTGCGGTCACGCAACCAACTTCCACGGTGTGGGCAGCCGGGAAGTAACAATCGCCCTCACAATCCGAAACGCACGCGAAACCTCTCTATTACTCACTCATCTTTGTCTTCATCTTCATCTCTATCATCTTGCCTTCCTTCCACTGATGCAACTCCTCGACTTGATAGCTCTCCACTTCCTCTCCACTCTGCGTCCACTAAAAACGATGGAAGCCAAAAAACCACCACCGACAGCCTCTTAAAGCCGCGCCACCAATTTCATATAGGAGCTCTTAATGTTAGGACACTTTGCCAAATAGGACAACAAGCATCACTAGCCAAGACCCTGGCATCACGAGCCATTGATGTATGTTGTGTTTCAGAAACACGCATACAAGACCCAAGTGTGGTTATTCACCTAACCCCACCTGGCCAACAGGTTGAATCTGCAAAATTCACCTTGAGGGTGTCAGGAGATGCCACAGCTAGTTCACGAGGATTAGCTGGCGTAGGGATAGCTTTGAGTACTAGGGCAGAAAAGACATTGCTTGACTGGATCCCGGCGGGTGTACTGCTCATCAGTCCGCTCCGTCCTCCTTTATGGTTGTGAGACCTGGCCACTCAGAGTGGAAGACATGAAAAGACTAGCTGTCTTTGATCATAGGTGCCTGCGTTCTATATCCCGTGTAAAGTGGCATAATAAGGTGAGCAACATGGAGGTTAGGCGTAGAGTCCTAGGTAAACAGGGGAAATCAATCGACGAAGTCGTGAAGCTACATCGACTGAGATGGTTAGGACATGTGTTACGTATGCCAAGCCATCGCCTCCCTCGACGAGCAATGTTAGCGGATATAGGGTCAGGCTGGAAAAAAGCTAGCGGCGGTCAAACAAAAACTTGGCATCAGTCAATGAAATCCACAACAGTTGGTCTTAGCCACGTAGGAAGGTGTAGACTTCCAGGCTGGGGTCCTCGGGACGGCAAAAATCTATGGTTGGAAACAATTGGTGACATGGCTCAAAATCGTTCTCAGTGGCGCAGATGCATCCACTCCCTGTGACTTATGATCTCCAATGAAACTGTTTTGTATTTCTTTATTACTCCTTTGTCTCACACCTCTGCTCACTGTTTCTATTTGCTTTTCTTGTACTTTCTTCTCTTGCTTCGCGTGCTACACGGAATGTGGCGACTTGAACTTCCGCACATTTGTGCAAAGTTCTATGTCGAAAACAGACAGACAGACAGACAGTAACGTACAGTCATATCTTCTGTTTGACACCAATTTTGAGTGGTGGAGAGAGATGACATGTGGCATTACGACAAAGAATGGGATGGTGCTGGCTAAAGCTGAATGATTTTTTCGCATAGCTACAGAATATTGTCCGCGTTACCTAAATTAAAATAATCTAGTTCTCATTAATCACCCTACTGGCTCTGCATTGACACTTTTTGCCTTACTGGTACTTTGAAAACTGCAGCTAGCACTATAATGTCCGTTGAGTGAAGTTATCTGATGGTAAAAGTCCTCTTGAAATACATCTGAGGTCACTACGTACGCAAAATGCTGAAACGACCAGGCCTTTAAAATAAACTTTTATTTTTAATTAAGAATTATATCCTAACTGCACGTAAACGACAACTGATCAGTACGTAATCGTGGAAGTGCTTTTATACTAATGTCACATGGTCACGAGATAAGCGCATTTAAGAAGTAATTGACGAGCTGACAGATACGAAAGCTATATGAAACACTTCCCAGAGATCTTGAATGTTTATCTATAAGATACTGCATACAACTATTGAAAGTTTTCCCAGAGTATTTAGAAAAGACTGTCTCATGTTACATTTACCTCCGGGTTTGAAAACATTTAGAAGTAAAAGTTAAACAAGACACTGGAAGAATATTTACCGTCCGAAAACAGTGCACATAGACTGAAATTTCATGCAATAAGTCAAATAAAGATAAAGCGAAATGCATCTGATTGACTGACTGTCAGACTTCAACGTAGAACTTTGCACAGATGTGCAGCAATTCTAGTTACCACACTCCGTGTAGCCCACAAAGCAACAGAAAAGAGTAAAGATAGATTCAAAAGAGAGATGATAATGAACAGAAGTGTGAAGGAAAAAGAATAGCAATATGTAAGAACAATCGAATTTTATTAGATATGATAAACCACAAAGAGTGAATGCATCGGCACCAGCCATTGAGAACGACTTTGAGCCATATTATGAACTGTCTCCAGCCGCCACTGCTTTTTACTATCCCGATGACCCCAACCAGGAAGCCAGTCTACACCTCATTATTTGACTAGCTTAAACTATCTGTTGACGGTTTTACTGACTGATGAAGCCATGTTTTGGTTTTACCACCACTGGTTCTTTTCCAGCCTGATCTTGTGTTAGGTAGCTAACATTTCTCATCGAGGAAGCCGACGGCTAGGCATCTGTAACACATGTCCCAACCATCTCAGTCAATATAAATTCGCAACCTCGTCTATTGATTTCCTCTCCCACCCACCTGGCACTCGACCGAAGCCTAACCTCAATATTGCTCACCTTATTATACCACCTGACACACATGGGAGATGGAAGACAGACACCCATGATCAAAAACAGCTACCCTTTTCATATCTTTCACTTTCAATGGCCATATCTCACAGTCATAAAGAAGGACGAAGCGAAATCCTGAGCAGTACACACGTCCTTTGGTCGACAACCGGATATCACATCTACGCTACAAACGGCGTAAGTTGGCATAAGACAAACGAGCCTTCCGCATACGTGATGAGATTTTGTTAGCAATCAACGCATTGGGGCTGGCTGATAAAACTTCCCAAATAAGTGAAGTGGTTAACACCCTCAGCTATCACTTCACTCCCTATCTTTAACCCAGGAGTCAGTCAATGTAGTCCAGTCCTGTAGCATCATCTTACGTTTGACGGGAACAAATCTCTGGCCAAACATTAGAAGATTGCTGCTCATGGTGTTCAGAAGACTTTGAATTTTATCAGCATCTTCACCTAGAAGGACTGTTTCATCCACGTACTCTAAGTCAACAAGATTATTCCCTGGTAACGGCTCAATCCCTGAGTAGCTAAATTCACTTAAGGTTGAGTCCATTAGTACATCTATGATGAAATTGAACAGAATCTGGGCATCCCTAAAGGACACCACCGTTTGTCTCCAAATGTAAAGGTCGTGAAAATAAAATAAAAGGGTTCATATATGAGGATAATGTAGTGGAATTGTCGAGAATGAAGCCCCAGAATGTACTATAAGCATCGAATTATGAACGCACTAAAATGTAGCAAAGTTTCCCGTGAAGACGAAGATTTCTCCCTTTCTAATTTGTCATCTCATGACCATCACTGATCCTGAATGAGGATTTTCCAGCTTTATTAGACACGACTGTCTGTCGCTTGATTCTTGTTGGAATACTTCCTACCTTCTCATGT